GCCCCCGTCCCATCTCGCTGCCGCCAAACAGAGCCGCTGGGAGAAGCTGGTGGTGGCGAGGGACGGGCACGGTGCCACGAGGCTCCATCCCACTCCTCCTGTAGCCAAAGGGGCATCTCCCAGCTGGTCCCTGATGCCCTTTTTGCTGGAAAACCCTCCCGGGCTGTGGGTGGAGGTGCTGCCCTGCCACCCGGAGAGCCGTCGGCATCCAAGAGGAGCCGCTCCGGCCTTAATTAAAGGTCTTTAATCACCGGGTAGGTGATGGATGGGCATCAAGCCACTGTTACATCCCGAGCTGGGGGCTGGCAGAGTCAAGACTGGGGTTGGTGGGGGGGTTCTGGGAGGACCAGGAGGCTCAAGCTGGTGGCGGCGGGTAGTGCGAACCGCGGCGCAGGTCCCAACCCCCCCCTTCAAAAAGCAGTCTGTGCCACAGAGGCAGTTCCCACCTTTATTGCTCCAGCTGGAGAGGTTTTTTTTCCTGCTCCTTTCCCACACACACACACCTCTGCCCCATCCCTTCTTCTTTCCTGGGGACACAGTGCCCTCAAGACATGTCACAGAGCAGAAGGCAACGGTGGCATCCCTTCGGCATCCAGACACCGCAGCAACCAGCCCGTCTCCCTCCATGTCCCCTCCACTGCACGCGCTTAGGTGAAGAAGAACGTATTTGGGGGGCAAAACCTGACCCTTTCTCAGCCCCGGCCCCCAGGACAGTGGCTCAGCCCCACATCCATGGGGCAACGTTCCTCCTGCCCCCAAATCATCCGAGTCCAGCTTTCCTCCAGGGAAGGGCAAGGTCAGACCGGTCTCCCTTTCCAGGGACGTGTCCGTTCCCAGTGGGTTCCCAGTGGGTTCCCAGCACACCCCAAGCAAAGGGAAGGTATTTACAGGGAGGAACTGCTTCAATTCACCGGGGTCTTCCCAAGCAAACCCTCCTGTCGCCGGAGCACGGCTCCCCGGGATGTTCGAGGGAACCCCAACAGAAGAAACAGGGAGCCGGGAGGTGGGGACCGGCGCCACCCCGTCACCCTCCCTCCCCACCCCGCCTGCCCGAGGTGGCCATCGCAGCATCCCGTCTCGCACCGCATCCCCTCCAGCCCCGCGGCTGGGCGCCGTCAGCAGAACTGCAGGAGAAGCAGAGCCAGGGGTGGGTGGTGAGCCCTCACCCAGCCCCCGGCACCATTTTGGGGGGCTCTGCCACCCCCCCGGGGCCGGGGAAGGGTTGGGGCACCCAGACACCCCTCTCAAAAGGGCACAGACCTTCCAGCGGTTCCCACATTCGTTGCACAGCACGAATGTCGTCATGGGCTCATCGGCGCTGCGCGTCTGCACCTAGGATGGAGCGGGTGGCCGAGTCAGCGGAGACCCCTTTGGCGTCCCCCGAATCGGGGTCCCCTGGGGACAGGGGGGAGCCCTGAGGGGCTTTGCGGGGCTGACCTGGTTGTAGGTGCAGTTCTTCTTCTTGCACTTGCCGCACTGGAAGAGGTCGGTGACGGTGCCGCCCGTCTTGGCCATCTGATGCTCCCGGATGGCCTCCTGGGTCATGGTGTTCCTCAGCTCCTTCAGCTCATCGCTGGCCATCTCCTGCCACCGGCACCGGCCCGGCAGGGTCAGCGTTGCCACGGCTCTTCCCCGGGGGCTCGCAGCCAAGCCGGCACAGAGCACACCCCGCCGTGGTCCAGCACCCTCCCCATCCTCTCCAGGACCAGGACAGATGGACCAGGACAGATCCTGCTCTCTGCGCTCGGTGGAGGGCTCGGACCCCCCCAGAGGAAAAAATAATCACCCCATCCTCAAAGTGAAAGTGCTGCCTGCAGGGAGCTGGCACCCCACGGAGGGAGATGGGCTCCCAGGAGCCTGATTTGGGGACCCCGGTTGAGGAGGGGACCCTCAAGCCTGACTGCGGACATTCCATACCCAGCTCTGTGATGGGG